TTAAGATCTTCCACTCGCAGCCTTCTTTTTCATATTTCTTAACTGAAGTTGGCGCATTCCTTAAATATCTTAGGTTGATTAAGAACAAGAAAGGTGACAGATTTTTATATATATATATATATTTATTTATTATGAAATATTAATTAATATAACTTAAATATTAATTAATAAAATAATAATATAATAATATATTTAAATATTAATATTATGATGATTGTTTTGGTAATACCACTGATGCATAAAGTTCTCTCCCTCTGTAGTATGTTATTATTATTATTATCTTTTATTTATTTTATTTTTTATTTATTTGTAGTTATTTCTCTTTATGTATTTAATTTTGTACGTGAAACTTTACTAGGTGTGATTTTATTTTCCCCTTTGTTTTTTTTTAATTGTTTTTTTTCCCCCTGTAGGGGTTCTCTCTGTTCGTGTGAGTGTGTGTGAGAGAGAGAGTGTGAGTGTGTGTGTGTGTGTGTGTGTGTATATATATATGAGTATATATGCGTATCCAGACATGTGCTGCATTGTGAAAACGTGCTTTTAATATTTGTTTTTATTTACCTGCAGCACAAACGCTATTTCTATGTTTACGTGAGAGTTCGCGCTCACTTCCGGTCACCGCCAGCAGACGTCGCTGTTCGCCGTATGAACCATGAGCTCCGATCCAATGACTTCGCAAACTTCAGGGGATTTAAGATGTGTTAGATATCTTGTTTTAACATCCAGACGGTGCGTAAACGCTTATAACTCCGTTATAAGACGTTATTATGTGCCTCGTTTGTGCAACGCGAATGACAAGCAACTTTTCTGAAGAGCTTCTCCTCATTTATTTCCTCTGGTGACAGTGAGAGAGAGATAAAGAGCAGTTTATCTACACGAGCACAGCATCTTCTGCTCGCACAGGAAACAGGAAGTCAAACCACAGCGGCTTCACCAAAAATCACACAGCAACAACAAAAACAAGAAAATATATTTCCGTTTCAATTACGATTTCAGACGATTCACAGTCAATTTCTTAAAGAAACAGTTAACTAAAAAATTTAAATGTGCTTGAAAATGCACATCATTTGTAATATAAATGTATATACATGTAAATATTTTCTAAATATATACTGTATGTGTGTGTATTTATATATACATATTTACATATATTATGTAAACAAAAACTTTTATTTTGGATGCGATTAATCGCGATTAATCGTTTGACAGCACTAGTTTATATGCACTTTTAACGCAACAAGAACATAGCAAACCTCCAGGGCCGATGGGGTGCATCAGGCGGTTCATCTGCACGTTCCAGTGTTTGACGCTCGTGTTGGCCTGCCGGAGTTTGCGCTGCGCAGCCTGCGGACGACACACGTTCATGAGTGCGGGGGAACACGCGAGGAGCGCGACACTAGCGCAGCGCTGAACTCACCGCGATGTCCTGGTCCACTCTACGTCGGCTGGCCCGCACTTTGTCCAGCTGGTGCTGGGCCTCGTCCAGAGACTGAGACTTCCTCTCCATCTCCTGCAGGAGCTCCTGCTTCTCGCGCTGGGTCTGCTGGAGCTGCTCCTCCTGGTCCTCCTGCAGCACCAGCAGAGACTTCACCTTCTCCTCCTCCTCCGCCAGCAGCCTGCCAACACAGAACCAAACGCTTGCGCTAAACACCAGAGTGAAACTCAACACTACAATACACCTAAACAAACAAAACATCAGTGCTAACACAGCTAAACAGCAGAAATATTAATAACACAGCTAAACACTAGAAATCAATGCCAACACAGCTAAACACCAGAAATGATAATGCTAACACAGCTAAACACTAGAAATGGTAATGCTAGCACAGCTAAACACCAGAAATGCTAATGCTAACACAGCTAAACACTAGAAATGCTAATGCTAACACAGCTAAACACTAGAAATGGTAATGCTAGCACAGCTACACACCATAAATGCTAATGCTAACACAGCTAAACACTAGAAATGCTAATGCTAACACAGCTAAACACCAGAAATATTAATAACACAGCTAAACACTAGAAATGGTAATGCTAGCACAGCTAAACACCATAAATGCTAATGCTAACACAGCTAAACACTAGAAACATCAACGTCAACACAGCTAAACACTTGAAATGGTAATGCTAGCACAGCTAAACACCATAAATGCTAATGCTAACACAGCTAAACACCAGAAATAGTAATGTTAACACAGCTAAACACTATAAATCAATGTTAACACAGCTAAACACCAGAAATGCCAATGTTAACACAGCTAAACACTAGAAATGGTAATGCTAGCACAGCTAAACACCAGAAACATCGATGCTAACACAGCTAAACACTTGAAATGGTAATGCTAGCACAGCTAAACACCATAAATGCTAATGCTAACACAACTAAACACTAGAAATGTCAATGCTAGCACAGCTAAACAACATAAATGCTAATGCTAACACAGCTAAACACTAGAAACATCAAAGCTAAGACAGCTAAACACAAGAAACATCAATGTTAACAAAGCTAAACATCGATGCTAACACAGCTAAACACCAGAAAATATTAACACAACTAAACACCAGAAACACTGATGCTAGCACAGCTAAACACAGAAACATCGATGCTAGCTAGCGCAGCTAAACACAGAAACATTGATGCTAGTGCAGCTAAACAACCACTAGAAACATCAATGCTAACACAGTTAAATCTCAGAAATAAAGACAGTAATACAGTTAAGCACCAGAAAATATAGTGTTAACCGCTAGATATCAGAAATATTCACGTAAACACTGCTAAACACCAGAAATATCACTGCTAATACAACTAAACACATCAGCTAACAGAGAAGAACACTAGAAACATCAATGCTAGCACAGCTAAACACCTGAAATATTAATGTTAACACAGCTAAGCACCTGAAGTAATAATGCTTTAATGTGGCAAAACACCAGCTAAACGCCTGTTTTTAATACTGCTTAACACCAGAAAAATACATGTGCCCATGTAAACACCAGAAACATCAATGCTAACAAAGCTGAAGACCTGAAATGGATCTTTTAAAAAAAAAGCTCTTAATGTAAACGTGTGTAGCTAAAACTAACCGTCAGAGTTAGCATTGAATGCTAGAGCTAATATGACTCTTTAAATCAGCAAAATGTGTGAAACAGCAGAATTTACACTGAAAAGTAGCGTTAAGAAACTCATCTGCAGAGCTAATGAGTGTTGTTAAGCTGTGTTAAGTTACCCAGGCGTTAGAGGAGCAACTAAACACCAGCTGTGTAGCGCTAAACGCTAGCACTTCCGCTTGAACTGTGTTGTAGGTTTATTTATGGAGTGAAACACATCGGTTAGGCTGCAGAAGCACGCTTGTGATCAGCGTTTCTGATGATAACGCACGTCAACATTTGTGCAACATTTACTGAGACGCCAAACCACAACACAGATGACAGGAAGTGTCACGAGAACGATGTGTGTGTGTTTAATATTTATTAGCTTTATCTGCAGGCGAGCGCTATATATGACTAAACCTCCTTTAGCAACTTGATTAAAGTGAAAAATAAGTAATAAGTAAATAATAGAGAGAGAGAGAGAGGTATACATCTATAGTTTTTATTTAAATATATTTTTATATATTTATTTGTTTAAATATATCTTAAATATATGATTTAAATGTAATTTACACACACACACACACACACACACACACATA